TCAGCGACACGGTAACGTTCGCAATGTTTACATTCCCACAATGCAATCGTGGAATGTCGCTTGACAACTCAGCTTCATCTGGATGTACTGATCTAAACTTACGTTGGTAGTAGAAATGCGACGTTCATATTGCCCCATATGGTTTACGTTAATCACAGATGTAATTAAAATAATTCAGAGAAGATATTTAATCCGAACGTAAACCGTAATCAAACTGTTATCATTTCTTTTTTTCTGGTAACGTTCGTCTTAACGTAGGGGGCAGACACATCAATAGAACAGCGCGCAAGTTAGCCCTGTGCGAGGATTCTTAATTTAGGTCACCGACACCGTCGTTTGTTTTCTGCCTTAAATTAATAGTAATTATCCTTAGAAAGTATAAAATTTAGCATCTTAGAAAAGACGTGAAGTTCCCTCTATCCCAATGTGTTTTGTAATAAAGTATAGTTTAGCCCTGAACTAATATAACATCAAAGCACTCGGACTACCGTCCTCGTGCTTTAATTATAATAGTTCAGGGCAAAACTATACTTTATTACAAAACATTGGGGTAGAGCAACTTTATTTCCTAAATTTATCATCCAAAACTGTGTTCTACAGGGATATTGCTTGTGTGACATTTTGAGATGTCATTTTGACAGTAGATTTTGTACAATGCCCTGACAATGATATGACGTCATGAACTTGATGACGTCACAATGCTATGACATCGCTGCACTGCAAGTCTAATTGTAGTACAGTTTTCAGGGATGTACATTTTTCATTGAAAACTAATGAAGAATGATTTTTTATGATAAATAGAATCTCACCCTCGTGTCTACTGATATCAATTATATCAACACTCGTTGATAAAGGTAAAAATATCCTCGGCAAGCCAGGAGTGGTGATAACTTTGATATCAGAGGGACTCGGGTGTGATTCTCTATATCCCAAAGAACTGGAATAAATTTCCCAAGTTACGGAAACTTTGAAAACGTTTTACGAAACTTACGATAATTAGTAAATTTCTGTCAATGTTCTTTCTTTTCACGAAAATAGAACATCTGTGACTCAATCATACCCTCCTTATAAATAAATATGAATTTATTTGTTTGATTGGCATTTTAGAAGATGCTATTTGATAAACATAAAAAATTCTGTTCATATGAATTTATTGTTTACTTTGAACGTGTTTCTTTAATGTCTTGGTACACGAAACCCCATATCGGCATTCGAGGGGATTCCCCTGGTTGTCAAAGAGGTCTTCCCCAGCTAATCCGAAAGCCAGTTCGTTGACCCATGACGCCGAGAGATGATTAAAATGGCGCCTGCGAGAGACCGAGACTTGGAGTTTTGTTTCCCTACAAATTCACGGTACATGAACTCCGATTGTGATCACGAGTGTTTGATAATCGTGTTCGTTGATTTACCAGATCTGAAGACATTTACATATATGGAACTTACCCCCGACAATAAGTTGACACGCACAGTCCCACGTGAGTATTGTTCAACAAGCTTTGTCGGGGTCGGGAATTCCCCTGAAAACCCGATCACAGCTGCCAGGTCAAGCGTGACACGGTAATTAAGACGTATTAGAGTATGTTCTATTTTGGGATTACGCTTTACGTACCGATTCTAGTTATTCGTTAATAAAAATGCATGGGATATTGGTAGTTTCCGTGGATATCGGCGGATAGGTCCTTGGAAAAGGTTACTGCCTGATAAAATACAGAGTGTGGGTTCGAATCCCAGATGGGACTCAATACTCTAAACAGTACTAGACTGTGTACTTCACTGAGAAAGATTCATTCTAAATATTTGACATATTTGACAGGTGTCACCTCCATTAGTCATACGTCCCATTAGTCAGACCTCTTAGATAAACACGTGTCATGGAAAACAGCAACCTCAAACATAGGTTGGATATCTAAAGATTATATTTTATATACTACTGATATATAGTTTGTTGTTTGATATATAGCATATATTTATATGTTATAACCGTCTTGCCAAACAATTATGAAGGGAAACATCAGTTGTAGATGTAAGTCTATGTTAACTTAACTTACACCATGGATGTAATCATAAAACCTTTATACTGTTTTACGCAATATACTAGCTATCTGAAACATATTGCAGTACGCATCGTTTGAGAAACGTATTGCGGGATACCGGTAATAGCGTGCAGTCCGCGCTACGTTTGAGAAGCGTATTGCGGTATACCGATAATAGCGTGCAGTCCGTGCTACGTTTGAGAAGCGTATTGCGGTATACCGATAATTGCGTGCAGTCCGTGCTACGTTTGAGAAGCGTATTGCGGTATACCGATAATAGCGTGCAGTCCGTGCTACGTTTGAGAAGCGTATTGCGGTATACCGATAATAGCGTGCAGTCCGTGCATCGTTTGAGAAGCGTATTGTATTTGTATTTATATTTGTTTTCGCACGATCCTCTGAAGTGAGTGAGTGAGTGAGATTAGGTTTACGCCCGCTTTTAGCAATATTCCAGCAATATCACGACGGGGGACACCAGAAATGGGCTTCACACATTGTACCAATGTGAGGAATCGAACCCGGGTCTTCGGCGTGACGGGCGAACGCTTTAACCACTAGGCTACCCCACCGCCCCAGTGGAACGAAGAGAACTGTCTCGATTGTGAGTTAATCAAACCCTCTTTTGTACCTGTTGTGGAAGATATTATAAGTTGTATGCTTCTCTCGCCTACCGGCTCGGGTGACACTGCTACAGAGAGGCGTACACCAGACCGTATTACCCTCGAGAGAAGCATACAACTTATAATATCTTCCACAACAGGTACAAAACTCTCCTGGGAAGGTGACACGGAAACTTGTTACTTGTCATTGACCAATGAAATTTAAGTATTTTACATGAAGGTAAGATAATGTTTGTGTACCTCTGGAAGAGATCGTTCTATATATAATGTTTGGATTGGTCAATCTGGTTGATGGCCTCTTTGAACTGTATTCCACTTATATCACGTGCCAGCAGGCGAATTCTAAGAGATGAAAGACTCATTAAGCATACTTGTGTCAGTATCTCTGTCCCAGACCGCCAAGTGATCCTTATGCCTTAGTACTTGTGTGTTGTGCAAAGTTTGGATGCCTGCTTGTAAAGTCCGGCCTACTTCTCAAAACCTTATCTTATTCAACACATTCGTCAGTGACTATATCCTGACCTATTACTGTGTTGTCCTAAAATCATCGAAAATAATTGGTTAGCGTCATTTATCAGATTTTCCTGGTTATGTTTGTTTGCACAAAAACATGATCGATTGCTTGGTCGTTTAGTCACTGCGACCAATCTTCGAATATTTCAATTAATCGGACCACCACTACTGCAGTTCAGTTCGGCACAGACTGGATATGTCGACGAAGTCGCTCTTGCGGAATGCTTCCCCACCCTTCCTGCAATGCGATGGCCAGTTGTGGAAGTGTCTGAGGCGTGTTTTGACGTTGACGTACACGTCGATAGAGTTCAACCTATAGGTGTTCTATCAGGTTTAGATCTGGTGATCAGGAAGGCCATGGCAAGACACTGATGTTAGAATTGGCAAGGTAGCGGACCGTGACGTGTGCTGCATGTGATTTAGCATTGTCATGCTGGAACAACTCCCTCTGTCGGTGCATAATCGGAAGCATGTGACGTTCAAGGACTTTGTTGATGTTTCGATTTGTTGTCAAATTTCCCCGAACCACTACTAAATCTGGCTATCACACCCCACACCATGACGCTGTCTTCACCGAATCCGTCGTCCTGTCGCATGCAGTTATGGGCAAAACGTTCATTTCTCTGACGGTAAACACGTTGTCTTCCATCTCGCCGGTGAAGAAGAAATGGTGATTCATCACTGAATCAGACTCGCATCCAGTTTCTAAGGTTCCAGCTCCGGACTCGACGATACCATCGCAAGCGATCGCGCCGATGGAAGTCTCCAAACAGGGGCGACAGCTGGCCTTGTACAGTCTCCACGGCTGTGGCAAGACGATGACGCAAGTGAGCAACCCGGATGTAGCGGTCCTGAGCGTGGGTGGTAACTCTTGGACGGCCGCTTCTCGGGCGATCTTGGGCGGAATTGGTTGGCAAGAAATAGTCCAAGAGGCGAGATATGGTGCGCCGATGAACGTTGAAATGTCGGGCAACTGCGACTCCCCATGCAGCTTCAAGGCGGCCCACTGCGATGTTTCGATTGGCGGCACTCAGTCTTGGCATAATGATTTCCTCTTTTCAAGGAAAAAAAGAATAACAAAATAAAACTCAACGCTTGCTTTTTTACAGTGATCGCTATATGCATTTTGCTTTGCATGTTTTTCTGGTGACCTTTGGCGAATACTATTGCTTCAAACGCTTCTAAAACAAGGGGAAAATTGCAGCGTTTTGGCGCTGAAACTGTTATCATTCACACAAAGACGATGTTTTGGAAAGAAATAGTGTATTTGTATTGTTTTTACAGCAGCTACACGAGTCCAATATTCTCAAAATCACCTATGCGTTTCTTTCATTTTTTTAAAGAGTGTATCAAATACACTACAAAAAACATTTCCTTAATCTTAAGAAACCTCTAGTTGTAGAAGTGTCTATTGTACGATTCTGACTTGTTGTAGTTAAGTGTTTGTGAATTACTAAGAAATAGTCCTGAGACATGAGGTCCGTAAGTGTACTCTGCCTAAACTGTGAACTTAACAAACGCCTGTGTAATGTATATATAATCAATAAAAAATCACGTTTAAACAAACACAAAGACGTTCATACTGCCGGGTTCGGTTTTCCTCTGTATACCATGTGACAATGTGTCCCCGGCAGACCGTGCACAATGCTGCATTAAACAAACAGTCAATAATTGTAAATCTGACAGTTTGCCTCATGCACAAACCTCACAATGAAGGAAGGAGATATACGACTTTATAACGCTGTCGCCAAAGCACTAAAGAAATGTTCTCGATGTACACTTGAGGTGTCACAAAAGGTTGTTTGGAGACTTGTATAAAGCCCTTCGAACCAGGAAGTAAAGTCCCCAGTCACAAGACCGCGGTGTACAGTGGTAAACGAAACCCTATTCAACGGACCTGTGCTCAGTGACCCGATTCACTGCACCCCTGACGACACACAATCAGCTCCGTCACCGTCACAGCAGTCAACTGAAGTCCACACTGACTGTCGAGGTGAGTTCAACCCCATTAGCTATACCACTGTCTGACTTGCAGTAGATGTTGTCATTGATGTTTCCGGCGGTATATTCAACGTTTTCCGCGATTTGTTTAGATTATACAGTGAGTATTTTAGCAAAACTCTGTATGACCTAACTGCCGATATAAATATACAGGTGACAGGAATGTAGGAGAAATATCGCCAACAAGAAGATGATCCGTGTCCATTGTACGGAGTGTTCATGGACTGACTGTATCCATTCCTGTAGGCGACGAAGGTCGCCGTGACATACAGCTGGGGATATACTGTGTAGGTCTGTATGTTATGTACACAGTGGCTAGTGGACTGGGGGACGCTCAATGAGTTGGGACAAGGGGCGTGTGTTTGTTTGTCTCAGTTAAAGTATATATTACAGCGGAATATAGTGGGAACCTGTAACAGTGACTGTCCAATGTTACCCCGTGATATAGTTACCGGTCTCTACACTGGCACTGGTGCTGCCACTGCTTCGTTTAACAAGTCACTACAGTGTCATTGCCTGGTTTATCGAGTCACTACACTGGCACTGGTGCTGTCACTGCCTGGTTTATCAAGTCACTACACTGGCACTGGTGCTGCCACTGTCTGGTTTATCGAGTCACTACACTGGCACTGCCTGGTTTATCGAGTCACTACACTGGCACTGGTGCTGTCACTGCCTGGTTTATCAAGTCACTACACTGGCACTGGTGCTGTCACTGCCTGGTTTATCGAGTCACTACACTGGCACTGGTGCTGTCAGTACTACACTGGCACGTCACCTGGTTTATCGAGTCACTGGTTTATCGAGTCACTACACACTGGCACTGGTGCTGTCACTGTCTGGTTTATCGAGTCACTACACTGGCACTGGTGCTGTCACTGCCTGGTTTATCGAGTCACTACACTGGCACTGCCTGGTTTATCGAGTCACTACACTGGCACTGGTGCTGTCATTGCCTGGTTTATCGAGTCACTACACTGGTGCTGTCACTGTCTGGTTTATCGAGTCACTACACTGGCACTGGTGCTGTCACTGTCTGGTTTATCGAGTCACTACACTGACACTGGTGCTGTCACTGTCTGGTTTATCGAGTCACTACACTGGCACTGGTGCTGCCACTGTCTGGTTTATCGAGTCACTACACTGGCACTGGTGCTGTCACTGTCTGGTTTATCGAGTCACTACACTGGCATCGAGTGGTGCTGGTTTATGTCACTACACTGGCACTGTGCACTGCTGTCACTGCCTGGTTTATCGAGTCACTACACTGGCACTGGTGCTGTCACTGTCTGGTTTATCGAGTCACTACACTGGCACTGGTGCTGTCACTACACGCCTGGTTTATCGAGTCACTACACTCGAGTCACTACACTGGCACTGGTGCTGCCACTGTCTGGTTTATCGAGTCACTACACTGGCACTGGTGCTGTCACTGTCTGGTTTATCGAGTCACTACACTGGCACTGGTGCTGTCACTGTCTGGTTTATCGAGTCACTACACTGGCACTGGTGCTGTCACTGTCTGGTTTATCGAGTCACTACACTGGCACTGGTGCTGTCACTGCCTGGTTTATCGAGTCACTACACTGGCACTGGTGCTGTTATTGCCTGGTTTATCGAGTCACTACACTGACACTGGTGCTGTCACTGTCTGGTTTATCGAGTCACTACACTGGCACTGGTGCTGTCACTGTCTGGTTTATCGAGTCACTACACTGGCACTGGTGCTGTCACTGCCTGGTTTATCGAGTCACTACACTGGCACTGCCTGGTTTATCGAGTCACTACACTGGCACTGGTGCTGTCACTGTCTGGTTTATCGAGTCACTACACTGGCACTGGTGCCGCCATTGCCTGGTTTATCGAGTCTGTTATATGGACTCATCCAATCCAGCAGAGAGGCCGATGTTCAGTTCCAAGTCTGTCAAATGTCAGATTATATTGCCAGATTATAAGTTTCCCATTTTCATCTTATATACTCTTAACAATATATACGACCGTGGCTGTTGAGGTGACTTATAATTCACCGATAGGATGATAAATACAAATTTAATGGCTATTTTTACATTATTGGAGTGAATGTAATTTTCTATGTTTGAATAATAAGAAGTTAAGAAATTTTAAACGAACTATCAATTGTAGATACATCCCAGTGAGTGCTGTGTCTAGGCACTTGAACAGTAGGCCCATAGAACATCTGGAAAATGAAGTCAGATACCCAGAGTTTAGTGAAGCGATTTGGAAATATATTTTTGGCTCTAACTACTCCGTTATTCCTGGGTAAAACTGTATATAATCCAGGTTGCAAAAGAGATTTAATATCAAAATAATGAAGTAAACCCGTAGAAGACACCAAACTTTGTTGTCAATTTGGAAATAAACCATGTCTCAGATATCTTGGTACCAGTCCTATTACAAAAGATTTGTCTCGCATATATATGAAGTCCAAATGACCTTTGTCGAACCGATTCCTAGGTATTAATTCGAAGCTGCATGAATTTGAGAGTAGAAAAATGATAATAGATAACATCGTCTTTATTCTACTGTTATAGGGCTTTTTAGCCATGGATCCTAACACGGTTGTCAAGTCAGTAATTACTGAACAGAGTATAGACACACATGGGTCAATGATTACAGTTGCATCAGTTTTCACAAATGAGACGATTATCGGGAACAGGTTATCTGAGCCAGTCTACACACCTCGTTGTCTAAACGCATGGTGCAGTATTTGAGAAGGAAACGAATTATTATTTACAGGAACTTAGAACGTTGCAGATGAAAACCTAACCTCAGCAAGTACACGTACGCTACATAAACGTAGTTTTGACTCAGTTTGAACTGAGGTCACATCGTATCCTCCGGCTCGTGTTTGGGGTTATATATGGTAATACTTGGTGCATTAATTCATTGACTAGCACGGAAACACCAGCCAACAAGCTTGTCCCACTGTTAATATCCCATCTCAAACCAGTGACGGAAATGGTGTCAGTTTGAAACGGCTCGGTTGATTATTTCCTTGTGGAAACAATTGAGCAACGCATCTCGATCAAATCCACCACAGCAGTCACATGTCACATAAACATGCTTATACTACAGTTGACATTGGTCTCTGGTTATACTACAGTTGACAGTGGTCTCTAGTTATACTACAGCTGACAGTGGTCTCTAGTTATACTACAGCTGACAGTGGTCTCTAGTTATACTACAGCTGACAGTGGTCTCTAGTTATACTACAATTGACAGTGGTCTCTAGTTATACTACAATTGACAGTGGTCTATGGTTATACTACAGCTGACAGTGGTCTCTGGTTATACTACAACTGACAGTGGTCTCTAGTTATACTACAACTGACAGTGGTCTCTAGTTATACTATAGCTGACAGTTGTCTATGGTTATACTACAACTGACAGTGGTCTCTAGTTATACTACAGCTGACAGTGGTCTCTAGTTATACTACAGCTGACAGTGGTCTATGGTTATACTACAGCTGACAGTGGTCTGTGGTTATACTACAACTGACAGTGGTCTCTAGGTATACTACAACTGACAGTGGTCTCTACAGCTGACAGGTTATATACTACAACTGACAGTGGTCTCTCTGGTGGTATAGTTATACTCACAACTGACAGTGGTCTCTGGTTATACTACAACTGACAGTGGTCTATGGTTATACTACAGCTGACAGTGGTCTCTAGTTATACTACAACTGACAGTGGTCTCTAGTTATACTACAACTGACAGTGGTCTCTAGTTATACTACAACTGACAGTGGTCTCTAGTTATACTACAGCTGACAGTGGTCTCTAGTTATACGACAACTGACAGTGGTCTCTAGTTATACTACAACTGACAGTGGTCTCTAGTTATACTACAACTGACAGTGGTCTCTAGTTATACTACAACTGACAGTGGTCTCTAGTTATACTACAACTGACAGTGGTCTCTAGGTTATACTACAACTGACAGTGGTCTCTAGTTATACTACAAGCTGACAGTGGTCTCTAGTTATACTACAGCTGACAGTGGTCTCTAGTTATACTACAGCTGACAGTGGTCTATGGTTATACTACAGCTGACAGTGGTCTGTGGTTATACTACAATTGACAGTGGTCTCTAGTTATACTACAACTGACAGTGGTCTCTAGTTATACTACAACTGACAGTGGTCTCTGGTTATAGTACATTTGTGAATGGTTACCAGCCTCTGGTGATAAAACTGACGGTGCTCGTACAGCACCAACGTGCTATCATTAATGTTATGATGGAGATGCGTGACTCGTCTGCGAACAGATCCATGTCCGGGTCTGTGCAGGATCATGCATGTTTATTTCACATTAACCACTTCAAAGAAAATTTGAATATCTGGGATGAAGGCAATGTTATTTTCTGAAATGTTTTCTTTGTGAACTGTAGTACACACAGCAAGCAATGCTGGACAGGTGCCTCCCGCTCTTAGGAAGTAATTTTTTAATGTTTCTTTTTAACATTTAACTGGTCAGTGTGGTCAAAATAAACACCCGCTGTACAACTCGCATTATACAACATATAAGAGCTCTGTATGTAACCACATCACCATACCAAAAATGTTCACAAGAGAGGGACATATTCTTGGAAACCTGAAGATATTTCCCGAATTTCCAGAACACGGATGTAGACAGGCTGTCGGGAGAATCAAGGCCACTGTGACATGAGTTAGGTCTGATCCGGGACCGAGACATTAATGGAACAACACATGTATATGTCTCATTCAGTCTTGTGGGCCAAGCGTGTGGGTCTTTCTGTAAGGGGTATGGTTTCCACTGATAACCAGCCTCGGTAGTATGGCGTCTTCAACATTTGTTTTTTAACTTGTTTCTTTAGGTGGCCATCTCACCATGGTGAAGGTTATGGTGTGTTTACTCCAGCCCTGACCATCTCACGCACAAAGTTTCAAAACTATGACGCTTTTTCAATATTCCTGTCTTTTTTGCAAGATGGCAACCCGGGGGCCA